TTCACTTAGGAGACCCAATTGCACTATCCACTCGACTTAGGGGGACAATTTGACATTTTTCCCAACATTAAATTGAAAAATTACAGATCAATCAATTCAAGGAAGTTAATAGATTAATAGGAAAAAAGAGTTCTACTATATGTACTCCCTAATCTTACTTTCTAAAGTTTACTTTATGATGTGATGGATTCTGATAAGTTATTTTTTTCATGTGGGTCTTAATACAAGTGTCTACATTAAAGTTTTGTGTGTGGAAATACAAGTTGGGAGTACATGTAGCATTTTTCATAGAAAAATATATAAAGAAAGAGTTAATTCCCAAAATAGCCCTCCGACTATGACATTTTCTCAAATTGATTATTTGACTTTTAATTGTACCCAAAGTGGTCTTTCGACTATTGAATTTTAAGCCAAAATAGTCATCGGTTAGTTTTGGTGTTAAGTGAGTGTTTAAATGAGGAGTAAAACTGGTAATTCAGTGTTTTACTATAGTCAGAGGACTACGCTGGGTGCAATTAAAAGTCAATGACCAATTTGAATTATCTAGTTAATATTTTTAAAAGAAAATTTCATTTTTATGAACTATCTAGTTAGTATAATCTAAAAGTTTCAATTGTGTATTATCGTATTTAAATTAATATAAAATACTTAGAGTTGATTTAATTAAATTAAAAAATATTTATGAATATAATATTAATAGTGACGATATACAATTTATTCCAACCATTTCATATTTTATTATAAATATTCTTTTATCACGTTTTGAAGTTTTTTATTTTTTCGCCTCCACTGACCAACATTTTTGTGCCCCTATAAACCAATATTGTATTTTTGTAATAGACAGTGATTTTTTTTATTATTATTATCTTTCTTATCCGATTGTATTTATCTGTTGTCTTTTTATTTTTTATTTTAATAAGCAATGGTTTATGTTTGTTGTCCATTTGGTTGTAATTTTTCACAATAGTTTTGTCATTATATGTATGCCTATTTATGATCATAGAAAATCAAAATCCAAATACATAATGTCAAGCATTCCTGAATAATAAAGAGTTAATCCAAAGTTAATGTTAGTTTGAACAACTATATATAAGTACTAGACCAATAATCAAAATTATTATTCTAAGTTATTTTTTTAAAAAAATAATTTTCTAGCTAACAATTAAAGTAAAAAGATTGTTTATTTAGAAAATAAAAATAAGTACAAGATTAACCACTTTTAATCAAAATGAGTACAAATCATGTTTGAACTATAAAGAGAAAATTCTTAAAATGGTTTTCTGATTATGGTTTTTTCTCAAATTGGTCCTTTGACATTTAATTGTACCCAAAGTAGTCATTTGACTATAATGAAAATCCTAAATTATTATTTTTATCCCTCATTTTAACATCCACTTAACACCAAAACTAACGGATGACCATTTTGGCTTAAAATTTAATAGTCAGAGGACCACTTTGAATGTAATTAAAAGTCAAGAAACTAATTTAAGAAAAGGTCATAGTCGGGCATCATTTTGATAATCTTATCTTACTCTATATAATAGCAAAATGTTTTTTGCCAATCAATTTTCCGCCTAAATGAAATTGCATCATTTTAAGGTATATAATGCATCATACTTATCTATTTTCAATACATGTTAATCTACAATTATTGTTATTTAATGATGAAGCAGGTAATACATTCCAGTATTTTTAAGTTAACATTTTATTATATAAATTAATTTATTGTTTACTGAAAAAAATTAGAGTATCCGATTTTAAAAAATAAGATTAACCTGTTTTTTTATTCTTACAATTTTGTTGATCGACAACAGTTTAATTGTTCATTCTAATATAGTTTTGAGAGGGTTTTTTTTTAAAAAAGTTACTAAATCAATTACTAAATTGAAAAAAAAAAGTTTTTTAAAATTTAAATCAGTTGCATGAACAATAATATTGGAGAGACGAATAAGTTTAAACAAATAATTATTGAACTGATATTAAGTAATTAGAAAATATGATGTATTTCTTAATTTCATTTTAAACAATAAGTTTTACCTGATGATACTGTATTTATTAGTTTGTTTTAGATATGTTCCGGTCACCCGATTTTTCAGATCGGCATTTGGGAAAGAAAGCAATTCCACAACGGCCGAAAGCTACGGTCAGATTATTTGAAAAGTTTTTTAGCAGTGAATTACTTGGACGTGCGATGATTTAAAATCGAGTATGTCAAGGCGCCGGAAACAGAGAAGGTTCGCGTAAGTCAGTGAACATTTTAGAGAGAATGAAGAACGCAACAGAGTAGGCGGAAGCGCAATCGTCAAAAAATATGGATTAGGGTTTGGTAATCAGGTTTTATAATTGGGTTAATGGGCAAATTATGCTGTGCATCCGTATGCACCATGAATGGTGCATACGGATGCAAAAACGACGTCGTTTTAATAAAACGCGCGTCTCCCCTTAAAAAAAAATCAGGTTCGATTCCCAGCAACAATATATGAAATAAAATTCCATAATCAATGAACTATATATTTCCATAATCGATGAACTATAATTCCATAATCTAATCTATGAACTAAAAATTCCAGAATGAATGAACTAAAATTCCATAATCTATAAACTAAAATTTCATAATCGATGAACTACAATTCCATAATCGATGAACTATAATTCCATAATCAATGAACTATAATTCCATAATCTATGAACTAAAATTCCAGAATGAATAAACAATATAATGTTGTTGCTGGGAATTGAACCTGAATTTTTTTTAAAGGGGAGACGCGCGTTTTTTTAATAAAACGACGTCGTTTTGGCATCCGTATGCACCATGCATAGTGCATACGGATGCACAACATAACGATTGGGGTTAATGGGCTCGGGTATTGGGCTGAAATGCAACGTAACTGGATTATATGGATAGATAATTAAATGTTTATTGGGCTTAGCATTGCAGGTTTTATTTTTTCTTTCATGTCATGAAATATTTCATATTTAGTTTAGATTTATATATGTTGTACGTATATAATTATTATTATTAAGCAATGTTTAAGAAAAGATTTTCGTAGTTAGTTTCAATGTATGATGATGATACTGTATTTTTTATTTATATATTGTCAAGTATATGTACTATAGGCTTTAATTGCAAATCATATTAATAAATATTTTTATATATAAGAAAATTTAATTTCATAATTTTTTATTGTATATTGTTTGATTTCCTAATTTTAAAATTTTTTTTTTTTATAAAAATGTGTGTGTGTGTGTGTATATATATAATTATTTTAATGTACACTTTTTAAATCTCATGTGGTATGTTATAACACAATTCTTTATAATATATGCTAACAGTATGTGATGTTCGATATAACAACCAATTTAGTATTGTTAAAGAAAAATACATTTCAGAATAAGTTTTAATTTCATGATTAATATTTTATTTTATTGTTTTTAAAATATTATCAATAATAAAGTTACTTAAATGTTATGCCGTGCGATGCACGGGGCAAAAACTAGTTAACTTTATAAGGAAATAATAGTCCTGAGTTATATGCATGCGATCGAATCCTTTTGTGATTATTTTGAGTTGTCGAGTTTTAATATAATAATAATCACTTGTAAGATTAGATATGGAATAAAATATTTTGTCGAACACAATATAGCTTCTATATTTATTATGAAATTAAATTGATTTGTTAAATTGGTATGCCAATTATAAACAACTGAGATCTTTTACCTGTTACGGACACAATACAGACTTCCCTAAGAATGTTAATTTGTCATTGGTAAAATGTGACAAAATCATAGGTATTAGTAAAGTTAAAATTAAAAAAAAAAAAAAAAAAAAAGAATGACCCTTTTTGGTAAATTGGTTATTAGTTGATTGTGTTAATTAGAGGGTATAAATAGTTGTAGAAAAGTGTTTAAATTAGCTTTGAATGATACTGACTCGCACAAATAGCTAATAATGCCTCCATTAAGGCTCAAAATCACAATCTCCCATATGGGAATCCAACCCAAGTGTCATCTGAGCACAAGGTACTTGGCAAACATTTATATTGATATTTTAACTAAATCAGACAATTAATAATGGTCAAATAAGTCAAATATAGAAATGTTAACCAAATAGGGTTCATACCTAGAATTTTGCCACATATAGAAATAATGTTAATTTGTGATTGGTAAAATTATGAATAAATAACATTCTCTTAAAAGGAAAATATATAGTCAATATTACAGTTTTCCAATATTTTTAGAAAAAAAAAAAACAAAATACAGATTTCACTTACTATTTTCTCTATAACATGGTTTGATTTCATATGATCAAACCGTTAAAACCAATAAATAATTCCCCATAAATAATCAATCGATCCGTCAATTTGATCTGATATCCTTTAAGTGAAAGATAACATTTTCACTGCTATAAATTGAAAATCAACCACAACCAGCAAAACACACCACAATAATTAAAAAAAAAAAAAAACAAAAGAGATAATAGCAACAATGATCTCTTTGCCGCCATTAGCAAGGGTAGTCCTACTAAATCTAATGCTAATTGGTGTAGTAGTGGTTACTGCCATCGACCTCAAGGCTATCTGCAAAACCACATTGTACCCAGATTCGTGCTTCAATAGGCTCGCTCCCATTGTCGACTCGCAAGTTGACAACGTTGGACACCACGAACTGTACAGGTTGTCCATTGGAGTAGCGATTACAGAGGTCTTGGGCGTCGCCAATGGATTCCTCAAACTAGAAGAGGAGTTCAAGAATGTGTCAGATGTCATGTCTTTAAGCGCGCTGAAATACTGTCGCAAAATGCTAGATACCCGTGCGGTTACTAGTCTCAAAGATTGTTTGGTCACGCCTAATAATGGTAAGCCGACAACCGAAAGGATTGAGGACCTCAAAACGTGGCTAACCGCCGCCGGGGTCTACCACCAGACATGCATCGACGCGTTTGAGGAGGCAAAGGACGAGGTGCTGAGACATGCGGTTTTGGAACAACTCAAGAGTTCGATAGAGTTGACGAGTAATAGCTTGACGATCTTGTATACATTTGAAGAATCCTTAGCTAGTAAACCACGATTGGGGATGGGTTCGAGTGGCATGTCGAGGTGGATTTCTAAGGCAGAAAGAAAGATACTTGAAACCCCGTTGAAAGACATACATATTGATATTGTAGTAGCTAAAGATGGGTCGGGAAATTTCAAGACCATCGGAGATGCCCTTAAAGTCGTACCCACTGATGGTACTAGGTTTGTGATGTATGTCAAAGCGGGAACTTATTATGAGATTCTGAAAGTTGATTCTACCAAATCCAACCTTATCATGATTGGTGACGGAATGGACGCTACAATTATTTCCGGCAACCTTTGCAAGGATCGTGGCATTGGGTCATACGATACCCCAACAATTGGTAAATTCATTTCTCTCCCCCTAACATCTCTCTCTCTCTCTATATATATATATATATATATATATATATATATATATAATGTTAAATAAGTCATTGAACTTAAAGACTATGCAATCAAACCATCCTAAATATGTGTAATTGACAAAATTTTTAATTTTTTCTATAGAATACGATCATAGTGCTTACATGATATATACTAAGAGTTGTCTTTTTTTTTTCCTACCATACTTGTTGGGAATAAAGATTAATTTTTTTTTTTTTTTTAGAAACTCAAATTGCATTAAAAGATATTAGAAAATACGTACTTTGCTTGTTTGATGATTCGATTGCACACTTTTTAAGTTCAATAACTCAATTACACACAAAAAATAAGTCTAGTGGATTTTGAGTGACTGAGAAAAACTCACAACTATTTGAGGGTGTGTATTTGTATGACTTTGTAATTTTAGATGATAAAGAATTACAAAGAGATAGATAATTATGGATTAAATTAACCCAGGTATAACTTGAATTAATTAAACCAATAATTAAAAGATAAATAATAATGACAAGACGATAATGGGAAGACAAGAATATTGTATTAAATAAGAGTTTTGTAATGTGATTACAAATGGAATTGAGATGTCTTGACAAGATAATTATGGCTGAATTTATACTAATATTTTTTTTTTGTCATATCATGAGGTGTCTTGAGTAGACCCTAACTGTAGGAGGTACCTTTAATAAGCTCGTACCATACTCAGACTAATCCTCGTTTACACCGGGTCGGCCCAAGAGGGGGTTCGAACTATCAACCTCTCTTAAGGGACAAGAGTGTACATGCTACTCATGACAACTAAGCTGGTTTAATTTATACTATTATTGCTCCTCAATCACCTCCGCGAGGAAAGGGTGGTAGTTACACGTACTTTGACCACGTCCACGCCGAGGCCGAGCTCCAGCTAGCCGAGGCTGAGCATTGAGCTTGCCCTTGGTGGCCGAGGCCGAGCTTTGGCGCGTCGTCTAACGGCTGCCGAGACCGAGCTCTAGGCTCGTCCATGGGCAGCCAAGGTGGCTCGGCCTTGGTGACCTAGGGGTTAGGGCGAGTGCTAGGCTATCTAGGCCTTGGCGATCGAGGCCAAGCACTGGGCTCAACCTTTAGCAGTCAAGCTCGACCTCATGACTCCAAGGTCAATCAGACACATCTTGCTCCACTTTATTAGGTCGATTTGTCCCCTATCCATCTTTAATATATATACCAAATAAATCAATCTAGGTGTCTAATATGCTCAAAGAATGAAGACCAATAGTATGAAAATGGAAAACCAGTCCCTATATTTGACTTGGTTAGTGTATATATGCAGCTATTTCCGGCGCAGGTTTCATAGCTAAGAACATGGGATTCAAGAACACAGCCGGCCCTAAAATGGGGCAAGCGGTGGCGCTGAGGGTGGAATCAGACAAGGCAGTCTTCTACCAATGCAAAATCGCCGGCTACCAAGACACCCTCCTCGCTCAAGCCAATCGCCAGTTCTTCTACCAATGCAAAATCTACGGCACAATCGATTTCATCTTCGGCTACTCCGCCGCCGTCTTCAAGAACACCCAAATCCTCATCCGCAACCCCGCGCCGAACATGGTAACCGTCATCACCGCCCAGGGGAAATACGAGCCGGCGGCCAACTCCGGCTTCTCCTTCATAAGCTGCACCATCTCGGCGGCGGAGGATATCGGAAATTGCCCCACGTTCCTAGGCCGGCCCTGGAAAGATTACTCCACCACGGTTTTCTCGTACTCGGATATGGGAAACCTTATTGATCCCAAAGGTTGGTGTGCTTTCGGCGACAAGAAGCCGGACACGATTTACTACGGCGAGTATAAGAACTCCGGCCCCGGATCGCCGACCGGGCAAAGGGTACGCTGGAAGGGAGTGCATTCAAGAATGAGATTTGCTGAAGCTAACAAGTTTAGTGTCGATGCTTTTATTGATGGCGGGGATTGGATTCCAGGAACGGGTGTTCCCTCGTCAATCCATTCAAGGAAGTTATTAATAGATTAATAGGAAAATATATGAAGAAATATAGTCATTAGTTATAATCTTTTGTGATTATTTTAAGTTGTCGAATTTTAATATAATAATCACTTGCATATTATTGTGACATCCAGTCTAGAATCCACAAATTGAAACATGTGCTACATCTCAACTAAAAGTCTAAGCTGATAGTTGATTCCAAGACCGCTAAACCGTAGTCGCTTGGCTCTGATACCAAATTGAAGCACGTGCTCCATCTTAACTAAAAATCTAAGCTGATAGTTGGATTGCACATTAATGGCTATATGCTCACACCACAAATCTCTTTAATCCTGCTTGCCACAGCAGCCATGGAAGACCTTCTATCAGGATTCTGGAACGTGCAACAGATTGCAAGCTGCAACAATTGAACCATCATCTGCCCCCCAACATTCTGGTAATAATCTCGTAAACATCATCAAAAACATCGGCGATTGGCTTCTCTTGAAACATTGCCCGAACCCACGACGCCAATTCTATCCCTTCTGTCGTTGGGGGCTTACCAGTCAGTAGCTCCAAGACTAAGACGCCATAGCTATAAACATCGGCTTTCTGAGTAAGGTTTTCTGTGCTTTGCACTTCTGGGGCGTGGTAGCCTGAAGAGATTGCAGTGAGTTTAACGTTGTTGGGGGTGACGAGCTGAGCGGCGCCGGAATCCGAGAGGCGGACGTCGTCGAAAGAATTGGAGAGTAAAACGTTGGATGAAGTTATGTTTCCATGGCAGATGTTTGAGCCCTGAGAATGGAGATGTGCGATGCCGCCGGCAACTTCAAATGCAATTCCTGCTCTTACTTTCCATGTCAGTGGAGCCTTGTTTGTCTCTCCTTTTCCTAGTGCAAATCAATACTTGATTGTTTAGCATATAATAATATATAAAATGGAAGGGAAAATAGGAGGGTTATCTAGCATTACTTATATAAAATAGAGTAAATACTTAAAATGGTCCCTCGACTATAGCTAAATTCACAAATTGGTCCTCGACTTTCAATTTCAACTAATTAAGTCCTTAACTTTGTAATTTTGACACGATTTGATCCTCCATCTATTTGACCGTTTGTTGACCGTGATCGACGATCTCCAGAAGAACTTTCAGCTCTCATCGGAGCACGTGGAGGCCTCTAGGATGACGTTGCACTGGTTCAGAAACACGTCGTCTTCTTCGCTCTGGTACGAACTCAACTACATTGAATCCAAAGGGAGGATGAAGAAAGGCGACCGGATTTGGTAGATTGCTTTCGGCAGTGGATTAAAATGTAACAGTGCGGTCTAGAAATGCAAACAGAACCTTAAAAAATGGACGATGGACCATGAAATTACATATATATCCTCAAAAATCACAACCAACAAACGGTCAAATAGATAGAGGACCAAATTGTGTTAAAATTACAAAGTTAAGGACTTAATTGGTTGAAATTGAAAGTCGATGACCAATTTGTGAATTTAGCTATAGTCGATGGGCCATTTTGGGTATTTACTCTATAAAATATAAATGTGTTGTCTGAATATAATAGATTGTTTTAATGACGAGGGAAATTTGTAGACTATCCGAAAGTGCGAACTAGTTAGATAAACATCACCCTGTGAACCCGTTTAGATTGTCTATAGAACTTGTAAGTTGTAACCTTGTGGTAGAAATGTCAAACCAATGGGTTAATCCGAAATTCAGTCTAGTGTTGACCCGTTTGGGCCAACCCGATCTGGTGTATTTGCTAAATTGTGCAAACTAGAGATAGCTCGTTTTATACCATATACAGGGTCAAACTTTAATTTTTGACACATGGATTGGTTTGGCCCGTTGGTCATACAATTTTTTTTTTTAATATACATAATTACATAAACTCTAATAGAGTTATATGGCTCATGAGATTATCACAAAACGGCTCAAACTTGCTCGTTTGACACATCTATCTTCTTGTGGCTATCAAGTCAATAGACTGACCAGCTTGGATGATGTTGGTCCTGATTTCACTTATCTTTCTTTTATTACACATGCACCACATAATAGATAGGAAGCATTATTAATGAGGGGAACTCTAGTTAAGTTAATTGGACAGTTTGCTTTATAACCACAAAGTTTTTGCCAGTTACAGGCTAGTTTACCTACCTCCTTGTGATCTTTTAATTTGTTGACTATAGCTGATTTACCTACTTCATTATGATCCTTTACTGGCTATGGTCACGAGACAAATTTTAGGCAGGTTGATATCAAAATGAGAGAAAAGGCCACGGACCTGGATTGTTATGGTGAAGAAGAGAAGCCAAGCTTCCCATGGGCATGTGATCGAAGATAAGAAGCTTTTCATATCTGGAAAAATAATATGCTCTGAGAGGAAGCAGATTCTTGTGGCTCCTCGTCAACTTCACAATTTCTCGAATTCTCCTCTCGAATTCTTCATGCGACATGGACGTCTCCTTCAACCTCTTCACAGCTACTGTTTTTCCAGTCTTCATCTCCGCTCTGTACGAGGTTCCAAGCGTGTCCTTTCCCATTACCTCAGCTTCTGATTGCAACAAGTCATTCAGATCATATGCCGCATCTTCGTCCTGGATGAAAGTAATAAGCCTTTTGCCGCTGTTTTCTGCTGAATATTTTGCCATTATTTTGTATGCTTGAGAAATTTTCAGGTTTGTGCAATTGGGGGATTTTTGTTTTATGCTGCTGTTGCTATATGATTGGATTGATGTAAGATTGTTGCTAAAATTCAAAGTCTGCGGCCTAAAATGTAACCCAAAACACAAGGCAAGCAGTTAGCTAGAAGACTTGACTGGATCATCCTAACCTCCATATATTTATTTTATAGTGCATATACAGAAAACCGCAACTACTTCTCGAAAGTGAATTCTTAGTAAACTTACTTTGTGATTCTATCCAACAAAAGACGACAAGGAGGTAAATCAACCTATGTTGTTTCTAACTGGTTCAAATCAAAAAAGTCAATAATAAATTGTTTCTCACCACTAATGGCGGAAGCCAATGCATGCAAGGAAGTTTTGTCGTGGCTAAGAAACCGCGGAATACAATCTATCGACCTCTTCACGGATTGTTTGGTACTACAACAATACCTATCATCTACGACGCACTCGTCAAGATCGTACTTGGGATATGCCGTTGATAGTTGCAGGACTATTATGTCGTCTTTTGATTATTGTTTACTTCAGTATGTTCCTAGACTAGATAATTATTTAGCTCATACATTAGCATCTACTGCTTTTACTCAGACAACTAGTATGTACTCGGATTATGATCCGCCAGCATCTATTTCTGCATATTTTCAATAAATGCCGTACAGGCTCCTTTCAAAAAAAAAAAAAAAAAAAATCAAAAAAGTCAATAAACAATTTAATTAGGTTAATTGGGATCGAATTTAATTTGAAACTTTATTGTTATCAAGTCAACCATCCTCAAGTTTCCCATGGGCATGTGACCAGAATATATGTTTGGTTGTCACTGTCTAATTAATGTGTCTATAATATCTTATCTTTAAATTTCACTGTAGTTCCCTTCAAGACCGATTGTATGTCAACTCTAATACGTATGGATTTCACTAAAAATTTTTGTTAGATTTGTTGATTTTGATAGCCAAAGGAGATAGATTAAAACCAATTTCGGCCAAAAAATTAATAGACAATTCCATAGAAAGTAAAACTTAGAACTTTATAATTATCAAATTAAGAGGACGTTGTTAGCCATGACAGTTTTCTCTGGGAATTTCAAATATAATTAATTTAGCAATAAAAAATGAATGTTGAAGTTTCAACGTGCCCTAGACGTGTGAATTTTTTAAACAGGGTATAATAAAGTTAGTATATTGGACATAGACTTTAGAAATATAATACTCCGCAACAGACTAATTCTATAGTAGCTGCAGCTGCTAGTAATAAGAAAATGTGTGTGTTTTTTTTTTTTTTTTTTTGAGGGGGTTGCAATCATGATTTGGATTAGGGCTGTGCAAACCCGAAGGAATCCGAAAAAACTCAAAATCTGAACGGTTTTCTGGTTTCGAAATTTGATCCGTTCGACTCCGTCTGATGCACAGTCCTAATTTGGAAATCGAACCACAAATTTTCATATTTATTAGTTTTTTTTTTTTTTTTTTTTTGAAAATATTTATTAGTTAATTATATAAATTATAGAAACAACTAAACTGCAGCCAAATTAATCAAACAATTGACTTGGTAATCACAAAGTTTTAAATTCAACATTGTCCATTGGCCCTTTTTTTTTAGTGACAAGAAAAACTTGCCGCCACTACTCGATAGTATGTATTGTGACCTTAGACAGTAAAGGACCGCTTCACCAAATCAAACAGTTTAACCAACTTGGTAGGGTTGCCCCATCTATTGGCCTTCTCGCGATCGGTATTATATTCAGTTTTTGTAAAGATTCAGAATTTGAGAGACTTGGCGGGTGGAGAATATCCACCACCCGCCAGTTAGACGGAAGCAAGATATGTGAGAGCCAAAGAACAAGAGAATAGATTATATTGAAAGAATACAATAGATTGTCGCTCTCTCTGTCTCTTCTATACTTCTATGGACCTCTATATATACTAAACTAGATACTAAATTAGTCTAGGAAACTACTAATTAATAAGAATAGGAAAGGAAGAGAATAGGAAAGTAAGACAACTTTCCTAATATTCAACACTTGTGATTTCTTTCCTTAACATGTGATTTCTGTGATTTCTTTCCTTAACACCCCCCTCAAGTTGGAGCATGTAACAGAAAAATGCCCAACTTGGGAATAAGAGACTTTTGATTGAAGGCACCAAGGGTAAAGATCAACACGAACACCATCATAGCAACATAAGCACCCTAGGATGGATGGCTTCAAAAGAGATTGCGCTATGTCTGACCCTTCCTTGGGAAGACAAAGGCACCAAGAATGGAGCTGAACACAATCCCGGGTTATCATTGAGAGAAAAATCATATGGAGAGATACGACGACGACGTACCATCGTGACATCGTCGTCGTTGTTGCTAGCGTC